CTGTACGAGAGGCATCGAGCAACTGAAGACGGTCCACCAACTCATTCGGATCGTCCCAATGAACGTAATCGACTTTGTCGTCGGTAACTCTCATAGTCGTCGGTACACCTGCACCCAAACTCATAGTTCGGTGTGCAGATACGAGTGGACCGATAATATACTTATATTTGTATCCCTTGTTACTTTTGACAGGCATTTCAGCGTTATGACGACGTCTATGTGCATTCGTTGTCAACAGTATACTCTTGTACGTTTGCTTATCGTTCTCGGTGTAGATGTCGTCGTCGGGAAGTCTCTTGAAAATTAATTCGTACAGACCTGGTGTACCCTTGTATCTGTTTCCATCGATTATTATGGTATCGTCTGTATCCACATCGAATTTTTTATCACCCATCATTGTACCGTTCTCATCGAAATAAACACCGTACACGAGATCGATTTCATTTCTCTTGTCACCACTCAGAAGAGCATTGATGTATATGTGTCCTAACGGTCCTAGCTGACTGTTTAATCTATCGCGACCCTGAGGTGTACTTAGAACTTCTCTAACAGACGTTTCGAGAGATGGATCAGTACCGTTGGAGGTTTCAAAAACTTCCTCATCCTGTGTCGAGGGGAAATGGTGTTGCGAATCTATCGACTTTGACATAACGTTCGACGACTGTTCTTTTAACGGAGATCGATTTTGTTTAATTTTCTTGGAAATTACATCATCATTATCATCGTCATCGTCATTGTCACTGTGCTCACGTTTACCTTTCAACGTTTTCACTTTCACGACATCCCTAATTTTCGACGATTTGTCTCGCTCGGTGATATCAACAATTTGTCTCAACGGTTCTACGATCGGTTTGAATTTTTTCTCCAGGGCAATTTCGCTCTCCATTATGCCCGTTTTCAACGCTCTGTGTTTCTTACGAATCGACTCACGTGTTTTCGCAATCAATTTTGCGGTTCGCTCACGTTCGGCGATGTTCTTCGTATCGTTCATATCGTTGCGACGTCACAATAGACACTGCACGATTCACAGTATCGCGAAATCGTCGAAGCCACGTCTGTACCTACCGTTATGTAACGCACTGTCCTTGTCGATAACTACGAAGCCGTATTTGCGTTGCCAACACAGATGACACAGCGTGCAAAATTTTTCATAAGACATATCGGTATTCACGTGATCGTTGTAAATGTGTTTCAGATTGGTACCATCTTGTTTGAATAGAATTAGAAAATTCGCATTGTCGCGTATGAGATGCTTTGGTATTTTCGCGTATGTTTGACAGAGATAAAAACAATCGATACTCGCATGTCGACCCATAGCGAAGTATTCCCTGATAGTATTCTGCTTGTCGCAGGCTACGTCGTCGAATACGAAAATCGAGTTCGGAAGCGCTTCGCCAGGTGGAATAACGTCGCCATTATTAGAGAACGCGTAGTAACCAATATCATCGATCGATTCTAGCAGCTCCTCGAGATATCGATATTTAGGTTGAGACAAAGATTTCGAGTAAACGTAAACATTTTCGAAACGTAGACCGTGTGGACTCTCTATCAAACTTAACAAAATATTCGTTTTACCGCAATTGGAGGGTCCGCAGATGATGCAACGAATCGTACTAGGTAGCGCAGAGCCGTGTCTACACTTATCTCTGACCGTTTCACGCGTTCACATTGTATAATATTATCTAAGATGATAACATCGACTGCTGACAGTACGATTCTCATCCGTCACAAGGTCACAATATTTTTTTATTAAAACGATTTTCTCCGAGGTACGCGTGACCATGATGGAACAACATGCTGAATGCATCAATTGTACACTACACAACCGTTTCGTATCAAATAAAATTTAAAAATTTACATTATAATAAGTTATTCGTATCTCGATGTCATATCCTACTATCTTTTTGCAAAAAATAATTGGCTCGACTCTGTCCTGCGCAACATAGACTCTTCGCTAGACCTTGTCACCGTGTCGATAGCGTTATCGCGACCTTTTGATCGGGTCGCGCGACCTGAGATTACGAGCGCATCGCACTCGCGCGTCGAGACACTGTCTCCCGAGAGCGGAACAAAATTTTAAGTAAACGACGATGGCGGCGTGCGCGCGCACGCGCGAAAAGCGCGGGAACCTCGCGAAGGGTCAGCCCTAACCTCGCTCCGCCGTCAGCGTCGAGCGCGCGCCCTAACCTCGCTCCGCCCGTCAGCGCGCGTCTTAACCTCGCTCCGCCGTCAGCGTCGAGCGCGACGACAGCGTTCCCGTGGCAACCGACCGGCGCCCCCACCACAGGCGCGTGACCTTGAAAAAACCGTGTTTCGCTTTCTAAATCACACACACACAATCGAAGAAGTCACGCACACAAGCATAGAGCAGCCACGCGATTGGCTATCCCCCCCGATGACCGTGTCTGTGGATTTCATACACATCTGGTTTGTCTACTTTTATGATATGATTTTTTCGGATATCACTTTGTTAGCGCAATGCGTTTAAAAGTCGAGAATTTTCAATGTTTTTTGATTTTGCGCTCGAAGTGGCGCTACGAAAGGAAACGAGCGGCGCGTGTGTCGCAACATCGCGAGTCAGTCTGTTACAAGCCAGCGTCATTGTAAGGTGGTTCAGTCTCGCCGAGCAAAATAAAGAGTTTTTTTTTATTATAGTAACGGCTCAGTCTACCAATTCATTAAGATACAGTCCATTAGTGCTCATCATAGAGCTATCGACAAGAAAATACGTGCCAAGCACTGGTTTTTATTCGAGAAAGCACGTAACATTGGTCCTTCGTGCCGGATAGAGCAGCTCGAAAGGCGGCGAAGCAAGCATTCGATACATAAAAGATTATTAAGCCATAGAATCTTTGGCATTGCAATCATACTGTGGCAAGGTAAGCAATTCCGCATGTCCAGTCAGGGCAATTGTTCGTACCGTTCGCATAACCAAGCATAATCATCGAGCCTCGTGGTCATTAAAAGGGACGCCATCTTAGATTGTGTCGCGGTTCGTGAGAAAGAAGCATACACGTCATACAACGATATCGCGGCCATTGATAATCGATCACAGGATCGCGAGAAAAGTTATATCGCATCGCATAAGCGCGGGACACGAAGCACGGCGTCTCGATACAACAACAGGTTAGGTATTATCACACGAAATGACAGATTCAGGCGGAACCGGCAGCGGTAGCTCGTCGACAAATATCGCCGCGTTAAAATCGTTAAAAGCGAAAAGATCGCAAATCAAAGGTCAATGCACAAGAGCAGCCACGTATTTAAATACACTGGATGCGCAAGGCGTGTCATTGATAGAACTTCGTCAGAGGTTACATAAATTCAACGAATCATGGGATATCTTTAACGGTGTTCAATCGGCCATTGAAGAAATAGAGACAAGTGCTGATGATACGGCAAATCATGACGAAGAGCGGCACGCGTTCGAGGAGAGATATTTTGCTATTTCCTCCGAGCTCGAAGCGTTGCTCGAAGCTAAGTTAGGTTCTAGGTCGTCCGTTAGTTTAAGTCAAATATCGCGTCAGGTAAGAGAAGGCACGCCGGCATCATTCGGTGGTAGCAACGATCATTTAAAGTTACCACGCGTGAATTTACCCACATTTTCAGGAGAATTTGAAGAATGGATTCCGTTCCGTAACATGTTTCGTAGCATGGTTGACCAGAACGTCGCGTTGCCTAAGGGACAAAAAATGCAATACTTGATTTTAGCATTGCGAGGTGAAGCGCGAGACATTATCGATTCCCTCATATCAGATAAATATCAGATGACAATTATACGGAAGCATGGGAGATGCTTAAAGACACGTACGACGATTCAGGAATCATAATCCAGAAGTACGTCAAGGCCATGTTCGAAATTCAGCCAATCGCCAAGGAGAATCATTTGGCATTGCGACGCTTATTAGATTGCGTTCTAAAACATTTACGCGCTTTAAAGGCATTAAACAGGCCCACTGATAGTTGGGACGATCTTATAATATATTTGATAAGTAGCCGCCTAGATCTAAAGACAAGCCGAGCCTGGGAGATTGCAGCGAAACAAGGTGAGATCCCTACTCTTAAACAATTAACAGATTTTCTGGCGCAGCACTGCAAAGCCTTGGAAGCATCAGCCCGCACAACGCAGAGCGGAACAGCAGGACAAAGTCAAAACAAAGGTCATCAAGCAAAGGGCACCATCGCAGCCCCGACTACGATAAGTAACAAGTGCGCTTATTGTGGAAAAGAAGGTCATCCAATATTTAAGTGTACGGAATATTTACAGATGAAGGTCAACGATCGTATCAAAGAAGCGAGAAAGCATAAGTTGTGTTTGAATTGTTTGAAAGCTACTTCTCACATAGCAAAAAACTGCAGTTCAGGATCATGTCGCAAGTGCAATAAGCGACACAATACATTACTTCATTTGGAACTAGCTACGAACGAGGATTCTGATACCAAGACAAAGGAAGTTACGACAGAGCAGGAAAAAGTGGTGGCTGTTGGTTGTAACACAAGAGAACAAGAAAGGCAAGTTCTTCTCGCAACGGCTTTAGTAAAAATAACGGATAGCATGGCAAAAGCATAACATGCAGAGCTCTGTTACATAGCGGCTCACACTCCTGCTTCATCACCAATAGTTGCGTAAAAAGGTTAGCGCTCAAACCATGTTCAGTAAACGTTCCAGTTTCCGGTTTAGGAGCAATGTCTACGCAAGTCAACAAAAGAGTTAAAATAAATTTGCAATCAAGAGTTAACAAATTCAATACGGTTCTCAACTGTTTAGTGGTAGAGCGCATTACACAAGCGATACCCAACAATCGAATCAGCTCGAACGAGTTGAAAATACCAGAAAGTATCTCGTTGGCCGATCCAGAATTTCACATGTCTTCAACAGTAGATTTGCTTTTGGGTGCCGAGATATTTTTTGATTTAATGTGCATAAAGGCAGAATCAAGATTTCAAAAACACAGCCGACTTGGTAGAAGACCTTGCTAGGTTGGATAGTTTCGGGTAGCATGGCATCAAGAAATCCCGAAGATACAGGTACAATTTGTAATTTGGCAATCAATGAGGATTTAAATGCAAGCCTCGCCCGTTTTTGGCAAATCGAACATACGGGAAGGCAAAATACTCGTTCTCCGGAAGAGCGCACATGTGAAAAACATTTCGAAAGCACCTATCAACGTAACGAGGAAGGTCGTTTCATTGTACGTCTACCAGTGAAAGAAGAGCAACTTCAAAAAATTGGAGATTCTCAGGAATCAGCTCTCAAGCGTTTTAATAATTTAGAAAAGAGATTCACTAAGCAGCCGCGGGTGAAAGAAGCATACGTAAAATTTATGCAAGAATATTTAGAATTGAAGCACATGCAAGAGGTTCATCCCGAGGATGCAAACGTTCAACAGCGATATTATCTAGCGCATCATTGCGTTTTGAAGGAATCAAGTACTACCAGTCTGAGGGTAGTATTCGATGCGTCAAGCAAATCATCCAGCGGTGTTTCATTAAACGATGCGTTGATGGTAGGTCCGGTTGTACAGCAGGATCTATTCGCTATATTGCTAAGATTCAGAAGCTTCAAGTATGTGATAACTGCTGACATAAGCAAGATGTACAGGCAGATACTCGTACATCAAGATCAAACGCTCTTACAGTGTATCGTTTGGAGGAACGATCCAAAGGAGGCCATTAGAACATACGAGTTATTAACATTAACTTGATGGAACCGCATCAGCATCATTTCTGGCAACAAAGGCCATCCAATAACTAGCCAAGTTGGAGGAAAAGCAATTTCCCTTAGGAGCAACAATCGCAAGAAGGGATTTCTACGTAGACGATCTCATAACAGGTGCCAATTCGATCGAGGAGGCGCGAATAATCCGTGATCAGGTAGCGGCATTACTCTTGAAAGGCGGATTCGTGCTAAGAAAATGGGCTTCGAATGATGAGAAATTATTGCAGGATGTCCCAAGTAAAAGAATGGACAATTCAATCATGGAGCTTGAAGCTGACGGCACTACAAAAACTTTAGGCGTTAAATGGAATCATCTCAAAGACGCATTTCAATACTCTATTAAAATATCACGTATGATGAGATGCACAAAAAGAATGATGTTAGCAAGCATAACTCGAATATTTGATCCGCTCGGGTTGCTAGCTCCTGCGATAATAATAGCAAAAATATTGATTCAAGAATTGTGGAAGCTTCAGTTGGAATGGGATGAAGCCCTCCCAGTAGATATATTTTCTAAGTGGTCAAATTTCGTTGAGGGTATGCATTATCTAAACGAGTTTCGCGTGCCACGTCGGGTCACAACCGATAATTCGTGCTCAGAAGTCCAACTGCATGGATTTGCTGACGCTAGCGAAAGAGCGTATGGAGCATAAGTGTACATGAAAAGTTTTAATTAAGATGGTTCGGCTCAAGTCCAGTTATTGTGCGCTAAAAGTAGGGTAGCCCCGATCAAAACGGTGTCCATACCCAGGCTAGAATTATGCGCAGCTTAGTTGCTAGTACAGCTAGTCAATAAAGTCAAAGAAGCGTTAGTCGTCAAGGTGTCTAAAACGTATTACTGGTCGGATTCATCTATTGTTTTGCAATGGATCAAGTGCACAAATAAGAAACTGCCTGTCTTCGTCGCGCACAGAATAGGCGAGATCCAAGAATCGACAGCAGCGGTAGATTGGAACCACGTTGGTAGCAAGGAGAACCCGGCAGATTTAGTGTCGCGAGGTATCTCTCCAAAAGAATTACGCAACTCTCAGCTATGGTGGGAAGGTCCTGCATGGTTGTAGAACTTGTCTCAAATCAGTACGCGGCAGCAAGAAGAGGAATCAATAGAGAATCCAATAGAACAAGAATCAGAATCAGTGATTACACTGACTTCAAAAACAGCTGTCGATAACAATTTCATAAACAGATTTTCGAACTTGCAAAGGCTCATTCGAGTTACAGCAACATGCCAGCGATTTGCGAGTCTTTGCCGAAAACAGACAGTAAAAGCGAGTGATACATTAACTGCGGAAGAATTAGCTCGTGCGAAATTATGCTTAATTAAAATGGAACAAGATTCAGCATTCAGCTCAGAGATAGAAGCATTGCGAATAGGTAAAGCGATTTCGAATAGCAGCAGTCTAAAAAATCTTACAAGGGGACGCTCAAGCTAGTATATCACGGATTTGTTTGAAAAAAATTGAGGTGATACTTTGAGACAAAAAAATTTACACGTGTTTCGGCATTTTACTCCATAGAGCCTCGATTGGTAAAAAAAAATTAAAAACCAAACAAATTTCTGCGCTAGTGATTGCCAGTTTTGCTTGAAATTTTTCAATTCATTTTTACTTACAAAACTATTACTCGTATAAAAAAGTGATCTATACACTTTTTTCTAAAAAATTCTCAACTTTTCGAAAACATAAAGTGCGATAATAAGCTTGGGCCTATCTTATTTTTAATATAAAAATTAATTTCAATATATATCCGAAATACGAGTCATTTTTTAATATAAAAAAACGCGTTTTCGACTAGAAAAAATTGAAACATGTTATTTTTTTCGGAAGGTTGAGAATTTTGTAGACAAAAAATGTATATATCACTTTTTTGTACGAGTAATAAGGTTTTAATAGATATAAATAGTTTAAAATATATTATTTTTTATAGTAATATCATAATAAAGACATTTAATAATTAATGTTTTCTTAATAGTTAAAAAAAGGTTTTAATAGATGTAAATAGTTTAAGCTACCAACCGAGCCATACAGTGATGTGCTTTACGTTTACGAGATAAGGTACTTCAATCACTAGCGCAGAAATTTGTTTGGTTTTTAATTTTTTTTTGACCAATCGGGGCTCTATGGAGTAAAATGCCGAAACACGTGTAAATTTTTTGTCTCAAAGAATCACCTCAATTTTTTTCAAACAAATCCGTGATATACTAGCTTGAGCGTTCCCTTGTTAGTCCGTTTCTAGATAAAGATGGCTTACTACGCGTGGGGGGTAGGCTGCGACATGCGGACTTGCGTTACGATGCCAAGCATCAATTAGTGTTACCCCAGCATTCCAGAATTACGGAATTGATAATCGTACATAAGCACGTCAGGCATTTTCATGCCGGTGTACAAGCAACCTTGGCTGCAATTCGGCAGTCATATTGGCCGATCAGGGCGCGCGGTACAGTTAAAAGGTTAATTTTCAAGTGTGTTAAGTGTTTCAGGTACAGACCGCGCTATTCCATACAAATTATGGGAGATTCACCTCATGATAGAGTTTCAGTTTCTAGACCTTTTAATAAGGTAAGGGTTGATTTTTGTGGGCCCATCTATATACGTGAGAGGAAAGGAAGAGAGTCTAAGCGAATTAAAGGATATATTGCTGTGTTTATTTGCATGGCAGTTAAAGCTGTTCATTTAGAAGCTGTTTCAGATCTTACAACAGAAGCATTTCTCAACGCATTCAAGCGTTTTATCAGTCGTCGAGGCAAGCCAACCGATGTATATTCGGACAATGGCACGAACTTTGTTGGAGCAAATAAGGAGTTGAAGAAGTGCTTAGAGATATTTTCACAGGAACAAGAGAGACGCAATATTATGGACTATACTGCAACTGAAGGCATAAAATGGAATTTAATTCCCGCTAGAGCCCCGCATTTCGGAGGATTATGGGAAAGCTCAGTGAAGTCTTTCAAGGCTCATTTTTACAAAACAGCTACAGATGCTTCTATGACTTTTGAGGAAGTCTCAACTCTCGTGGTTCAGATAGAGGCGATTTTAAATTCGCGTCCTCTGTCAGCAATTTCAGACGATTCTAATGATTTAAGCTTTCTGTCTCCAGGAGATTTTCTTATAGGTTCTACGTTGACCTCTTATCCTCAAGCAGATTTGTTGGATACTAAAATCAATCGTTTATCTAGATGGCAATTGCTCGAAAGAATACGCCAACATTTTTGGAAGGGATGGTCCGTTGAATATTTATCGAGCCTTCAGCGGCGTAATAAGTGGCAATCTAGTTCAGGACCCCCTATACAAGTCGGGCAATTAGTGGTTTGCCGAGAAGATGGTTTACCTCCTTTAAAATGGGTACTCGGACGAGTTCTCGAAGTAATGCCCGGAGCAGATAACGTAGTCAGAACGGCTATCGTTAAAATTAACGCTGGATTATATAAGCGCCCGGCTGCAAAACTATGTGTATTGCCTATCGGAGAAGATTCCGTTAGCGGCGAGTCCTTTGATGACAATTAGAATTAAGTAAAAGCATGCGATAGATTATTCATAAGTTATTCCTTTAGTTCATAATTTACTTTGTTGCTAATCACGAGTTAGCAAGGCGCGCGGTTATATGTTAGCGCAATGCGTTTAAAAGTCGAGAATTTTCAATGTTTTTTGATTTTGCGTTCGAAGTGGCGCTACGAAAGGAAGCGAGCGGCGCGTGTGTCGCAACATCGCGAGTCAGTCTGTTACAAGCCAGCGTCATTGTAAGGTGGTTCAGTCCCGCCGAGCAAAATAAAGAGTTTTTTTTTTTATTATAGTAACGGTTCAGTCTACCAATTCATTAAGATACAGTCCATTAGTGCTCATCATAGAGCTATCGACAAAAAAATACGTGCCAAGCACCGGCTTTTATTCGAGAAAGCACGTAACACACTTACATTTTTAGAGTACAAATATATTACAAATATATAGTGTCCCAGAAAGAGTGTCAAAAATTACACGAACAGGTAGAGCGGACTGAACTGACAAGGGGACGCTCAAGCTAGTATATCACGGATTTGTTTAAAAAAAATTGAGGTGATACTTTGAGACAAAAAAAATTTTACCGTGTTTCGGCATTTTACTCCATAGAGCCTCGATTGGTCAAAAAAAATTAAAGTTCGATCCCTGGAGTATGCAATTTTTTTTTTAATTATTATTTTTATTTTATTATTATGATATTACTGTAAAAAATAATATATTTTAAATTATTTATATCTATTAAAACCTTTTTTTAACTATTAAGAAAACATTAATTATTAAATGTCTTTATTATGATATTACTATAAAAAATAATATATTTTAAACTATTTATATCTATTAAA